TGGCTGTTGCGCCGGTTGGCGAACAGGTCCACCTCCACTTTCCCGAACTGGGCCCAGATCTGCTTCACCACCTCCGGGTGAAGCATCCATTCGTCTGGGCAGGGGCCCGCCTCTCAATATGAGGTCAGCCCCCCTGTTCTCCCGCCCCGGGATGTGGAGGGCTTTCAGAGAAAACGCATTCTCTGAGGCCCACAACCACAGGTTCTCCGCTGTGCTCAACAAGGCAGCGGAGCGGACTCCGCCCTGCCTGTTGATGTTCGCCACTGTGTTGCGGTTGTCGCTCCTCACCAGCACATGTTTGTCCTGTAGTAAGGGTTTGAATTGCTGTAGGACCAACACTACTGCCCGCAGCTCTAGAAGGTTGATGTGCTGAGTCTCTGTCAGAGGCCAGCCACCACCTATAGCTCTCTCTAGGCAGGTTCCCCCCCATCCTGTCACGGATCCATCTGTGAACACCGTGATGTAGGAGGTAACCCGCCCCATTGGAGTTCCCCTCCGCAGATGCTTTGGGGACCCCTAGTATCGGAGGTTGCCCTCCACTGAGATGTCACTCCAGATATCGTTTGTGCCTCTTGGGATCTAAACGAAGGCCGGCAAACCACCTCTGCAGGCGACGCATATGCAGTAACCCCAGCGGTACCACGAGGTGAGCAGCCGCCATGAGACCCAGAGTCTGCATGATGGTCAAAGCCGTCACCCCCTGTCGCAGTCTGCAAACTGCCCGAAGCAAGGATGCCTGTCTGCTCTCTGACAGGGTGGCACGTAGTCTGCCTGCATCGAGCAAAATCCCCAGATACTCCACCTGCTGGTGAGGTATGGGACTGCTCTTCTTCCAATTGACCGCAAATCCCAACTTGGTTAGGTGTAGGATCAATTGGGCAGTGTGAAACATTGCCCATTCCCTGGACCTGGCCATGACTATGAGGTCGTCCAGATAAAAGAAAACCCTCATGCCATGGTCGCGAATTGGCTGAAGCGCTGTGGCCACACATTTGCTGAACGTGCGTGGGATTGGCTAGAGCTTGTACTGGCATATGATTTGATTGGCTGACGGTTTTGCCGAGGCTTCAAAAGTTGAACATTGCTCAACTTTTGCAGCGAGCCACACCAGCAAAGCTCCGCTTTGCTTCCCACAATGCAGTTCGGCGAAAAGTGACGTCACCCCATTCAAAGTGAATGGTGAAGCTTTCAACGCACGCCGCTGTGTGGACGGGCCGTTACTCTGGGATGCAATCATTTTTATCTAATGCATTTTTCACACACAACATTTCGTATATCAAAGTGGGAGGAGGCGGAAGGATTCGCCCTCGCGTCTTGGGTGGTGAGACACATATCTCTCGCCGCCGGGACACTTCCTCCCACAGCCCGTCATCTCCGGCAGCTAGGCGCACCCCACCCTGAAGCCCTCTGTCGGGATTGCACAGCCTGTCCCCGCGGGTGCCGGTATTGAGCCGGTTCCGCGGGACCAGCTGAGTAGGTAAAAGGAGCAACAGGAGCCGTGGGTGCTCTGTACCGGCGCCTCTCTCTACCAGAGGCAGCATGCGGCTGAGCTGCGACCTTTCTACCTCCAAGCATCTGAAGCGCTGTGTGACCGAAGTGATCGACCCAAAGAGCCCTTCCGTGGATACGGGGGCCCCAAGTAGATCATCACGATTTCTGGAGAGCGCCGTGAGTCCCAACCACACGTGACGTGATCCCACTGTGGCCAGGGACATGACACGGCCAGCTGCGGCAGCTACACCATGGATCAGATTGTTAATCTGTCCAATGCTGCGGTCCAAATAATCGCTCCGGTCCTGAGACGGGGTGTCCTGCTGAGGAGTAATCAGCGACACGCCCAACACACCCAGATTATTGGCTGCTGCCGCCATCTGTGCTCCAAGCCGGAATATTTTGTCAAAATATTCCAGCGTTTCTCGGTCACGGGGCAGTGGGGGCAGAGGCTTTTTCCCCTCCGCCCATCCTGCTGCCTGTGGGAGCAGATGGGCTGCCAGGCTCTCATCAAGGGGGGGCACGCTGTGTCCGTGCGGCCCTGCACCCTGAGAATTCCCACCATACCAGCCACTGGAGCCTTCATCTTCAGTGGCTGCAGCCACGTCGCCTCGACACAGTGCCAGATGTCTGGCAACGGGGGAGAAAGGAAGGCCGGCTGCGCCGGACGGACCGGGCCGTAGAACCCCCTGACGGAGGCGGCTCACCGGCTTCGGTGGCAGTGGTGGGGGAGCGGTAGCCCTACATGCTCCACCGCCATGGCCTGACGGGCAGATCCTCATGGATGCCGGACTCGGAAGCGCCCGACAACGAAAAGTCCTCCTTCTCAACAAACGAAGCCACCCGGCCCGCTGGAATGGTGAACATGAACGGCACCTCCCCGGCCACATCCTGGTCCTCCATCTCCACCACATCGAGCTCCACCTGGTCCTCCGCCTCATCCGATGAGACATAGTGTGCATGGAAATGCTCCAATCGATGCTGGTGTCTGAGCCGTGGGAGCATCCGGCAGGCATTGCAGGACGGAGAATGGTTCACACCGTCCACGGCGTGGTCAGGCCCCAAACATTCAAAGCAGAAGCGGTGGGGATCGGCGCCCGCTATTAAGCCAGGGCACGAAGGACAGGGCCGGGGCACTAGGAGTGGCGAATCCATTTCTTCTTCTTCTTCTTCTTCTTCTCACGTTTATTTCTCTCTGTATGACAGTCAGGAGGCGTTATATACTTTGGGCCTCCGCATTCAGGTAGGCTCGCCCCGATTGGCCGGCTACGTTTATGCAACTTCAGTGTGTGAATGCTCGCGTATCATTGATGAGAGCAGTACCCATAGAGTCCAGTAGAGGGCGGAGCCTGTGTGATATAGACACTTTTCCGGAGTTGTCATGAATGGAACAAATTTTAAAAAGTCTGAAATACATCCAAATAATATTAGAATACACAATGTAAATACATCTATTGACAGTTGCTAAAAAGAGTAGATTATCATAAGCTAGGTTTAATGGTCTTTATAGTTTTTACCTGTCAATTGTTTACTCACTATTCGGATGTACTGGCTTGGTTTCTAATTTTCAATTCTGAAAATTAATCCGACTGATTTGCTCTGAGGCTTTAGTGCTGCTTCATAATTTTGTTGCTTATGAACATCTGTTTCTCTCCACTAAAATCCATACCACACTTCTATTATATATATATATATATAACTTTCTTTCAACTTTAAAATCCACTCAACTAAACAATACACTTCAAGTTTTTGTAGTAAATTAATATTTCCAAAAATATTTTAGGAGTTTTCATAATAGTAATCCATGTCATTATATAGCAAATAAATAAAATATGCAAATCTCCAGTAATGATCAATATATTAATGTGATACTATCAAGTTTTTTTCAGCATGATCGGATTGTCGTTTAATTACACAGATAATTTGTCCCCGGCAGTTATTATACTATCTGTCGCAGCAACCACAGAGATTTAATAAACTGTTAAGCATCGCTGTTATCTTTAATTTCGTCTCTGATCAGTTTGCAAGTCCTGGGGCTTTGTTTCCTCTGCCACGGCCCAACAGCTGCGCATGCATATTGTCTTTGTACCCTGTGTGTGTGTTGTTAATGGGCATCGTTTCGTTTGTCATTTAGCTCGTATTTAGATTGTCAATTCATGTCAGCACGGGCGTACAATCTCCCTCCCACCCTTTAGCATCTCTTGAGTAGGCTTTTTCCTCTTTCCAAAAGACAGTGAATGGGAAATGTCGATGCTACATTTCACCACGTCCTGAAGTATTTTCTTCCGTCTTGTTAAATCCTGTCTCTGCAGGCTCAAGGCGACATCTGTGTGTTTTGGGCAGTGGCAGCCCCATATGTGGTCTCAGTTCACTCTTTGAATGTATCTCGTTTCAGTCACATTAAAAAGCTGTGGCTGTTCTTTTCTACTGCAGCAGAGCCACCTAAAAATAGACACAGCCCATTGGGGATACCTTTAGAAGCTTCTACACATCTCTGTTTTGTCTACAACCACATGCCTTCTTACATGTTGGCTGACTTTTTGCTGCTTCATCCTCCAGTGGTGGAACGAATCATAGTTCTTGCTGCAGTGATGGAGAAAGCGAGGTAGTAATCCACTCAACGTTTCTGTTGTAATGTAATACGGGTGGGCTATTTCAGGGAGTTCATTTAGGGGCAGGGACATGGTCTACCTGCAGAGTGGACGCACGCAAAACTCTCCATTAAAACATGATTGGAAAGCGGGACCCGCCGCTCATAAAGACCTCCATCACACCTTTGTGTTAATGGAGATCACATGGCCTCAATTTTCTCTTCTGGATATTTCCGATTTATAAGGTTTGGTTGCTGCTTTAAGTGTTTGAAGTGCAAAACGTCCCAAACCTGACCGGCAGAGTGCCGTGTAATCTGAGCCGTGTTGTAGAGAAATTAAATGTTGAAATGTGTGTTATCTCTATTTTTCTTCTTCTTTCTTGTAATAACCTGTGCTCAAGAAAGTCCTGAATATTCTCCTGTTATTGAGCCATATGTTATATTTAGGGCCGGGACTCGATTAAAAAAATTAATCTAATTAATTACAGGCTTTGTAATTAATTAATCGCAATTAATCGCATTTTTAATCGCATATAAATATTTGACCTGAGAACAGTGAGAAGCAATTTTTTTCACATGGATTTTAGTATACCATTGAATAATGACTGAATACATAAGCTTAAGCAACAAAACATTGTTTATTTTTTTCAAGGCTATACTTAACAAAGACCAACAGAAAAGTGAAATTTTTGCCATAAAGTGTAGCAATAGCATATTTAGGAATACAGTACATTTCAGAGATTCAGGTAGCCTATAGGTAGGTAGACCTTCTGTAAACTATAACACTTTGTTTTTGAAGTATAACACAATACTTTCATACTTGAAAGTATTGTGTTATACTTCAAAAACAAAGTGTTATAGTTTACAGAAGGTCTACCTACCTATAGGCTACCTGAATCTCTGAAATGTACTGTATTCCTANTTTATCACTCACTCGCGCTGACGGGGGGGCGGAGGGTATTCGATTAACGCAACCACTGCTCCCAAGCCCTGTTGTTGCCATTTTATTATCTGTTAAATAAGGTTAGTTAGACCATGAGTTAGACCCGAGTCTTCCTGACAGTTCACAGTGTGCCGCTGCCCGGTGTAATTCAATTGTACCGCCGAGCGCAGCACAGACACACAGCTGCTGCCCAGCCGCAGCACCGGAAATGGAACTGCTGGGAGAAAAACTGACTATCAAAGATGTAACGTTATCTTTGATAATATTTCGTCTCCTCATTTTTCGTCAACAAAAGTAAAGAGAGATTTTGGCATAGTTTTTATTTAGTAAACTACATTTTCGTCTCGTCACTTTTCGTCAACGATATTGCATGATGATTTTGTAACAGTTATTGTTTACTGCCGTCGGTGCCGTCTCGTCATCGTCTCGTTTTCGTCATGGAAAAAAAGGTCGTTTTAGTCAACGAAATTAACACTACCTGATAGCAATCAATAAATCAAATGCTCTAATAAAAATGCATTAATTAATTATTTCTTTAGTCTTTTAGAAAAATATTGATAAGTTAAGCTTTAACTGTGATGAAGTAAACATCAAGATCTACAAGTAGAAGGTCACTGAGCTCATGTTACTTTTACAGTGCATATGCAGTTACCTGTCACACATAACGATTTATAAAAAGTAGTTAGCAGAATCTTGAATATCTGCTGGACTTTTATTCTTTGGCATTTCAAAAAGATGGCTTTTGAAGTTTAAGAAGGAGTAATGGGAACTGACTTGTTATGACAGATTCAATAGAGTAAGAACAAAATGGCTGTAAAGAACTCTTTCTGAATTTGAACTGTCTTCCCTCTATTGGCATTGCTCACACCGCAGTGTACATTAACAAATGCAGAGGTGGCGACTTTCCGACCTTCAATGAGTCCAAAGGTTGGACACAGGGAATTTGTAAACCTACCTTTTTCATAATCGGGTACGCTGTCTTTGAGCAGGCAGCTGAGCTGGTGGCCATTGAGATGCAGGAAGCGCAGCTGGTCTCGGAGTGAGGTCTCCTCCAGGACGCCCGGGATGATGCGGCCCACGCTGTTCAGAGATATGGGCAGGCCAAGGCCCAGAGCCAGGGTCGGAGGCAGGTCCACTTGCTCCACCACTCCAGGCTTCTCCATGCCCGCTGAGACCACAGGGCAGAAACACAAACAAGCAAAACAGTGAGGATACTTGGATTTCATTTTTCTAAGATTTAAAGCAGTTGTTTTGAAACTCATTTGGAGATTTGTGGATTATATAATTTAATCAATTAGACAAAAACATTGCATGAGAGTATGTCGACTAATATTTTTTGAGGAGAGCACTGATAACTATCCTCTTTTTTATGTAGTTTGGTGGTATTATTGATTTGCTGTGTTGTTTTCTAAAGTTCACTTGTCCATCAGTCTGTACAAAATTCATGGGATCTGTTCAAACTGAATGTAAAAATCAGACTCTTCTTTATTTAATCCAAAAAATAGTAAAATAATTGTTCCCTTACAAACCTGCAGTGTCAGAAGCAGAAAGTCTCTACTGTGTTACATAGATCAGTGATGGGTAAAATAATAAGAACACAAGTCACATTGTATTACTTCAAACTACAAAGCAATTCAAACAAAACAAACTATTTGCATGATGGACACAGAGAAATTGATCAATTTTCAGCGTGTCTGATGTGGAAATTCCCACAATAAGAGCTTGTCTAAAAGAATTTGGCAACACTCATCAAAATAAATGTAAAAAAGGATCTCCTTTCCCTAAAGTCATAAACATGACAACACTAACAGTGAAGAATCCCACGTATTTTTGTTATTTTGAAGTTGGAGATTATGTATAATGCATTTGACTGGGACATATCACTCTAATCTCAGCCTCTTACAGCATCTCACTGATGCTGCTTCCTCCTCCCCTCAGGACAGTCAAGGTGCGGTCACAAGGAAAATGGCAGGAGCCTGGTGCAAAATCTAACGCCTTTTCCCCACTAGGCTTTCATTTTTTTTAAATTAAAAAGGCCTCTATTGTGCTCATTTACAGGTTTCTTTTTTGTATTTCATGCCTCTACTCAGTAGAGTCAACAGTGACATGTCTCCATGCTTTAATGTTCAGAAAGCTCTTTATTTTTCTCATACTGCCTGTGCTGCAGCACCTCTTTTCACCCTCTGTCTGAAACCATAGCTCTGATTGGTTAGCTGGCCTGTTCTGATGTGATTGGTCAATTGGTTAGAGATGTCCTGCCCCTTAGCCTATCATGTACAATGTGTTTGAGCGCTAGCCAATAGAAGCGCAAGTGTTACGTTTTGATGTCATTATGTTGCGGAAGTAAACAAAGGAGTCCAATGGAGGCGTTTCAGGCAGGCAGGTGTGTGGGCGAGAAACTCCCTCTGGAGGGAACACAGGGATTTCAGCCTTTGCAGATCATTTACATGCACACAAACCTATTCAAACCACTAGAGGAAGGGAAAACAAGATTAATAATGCCCGTTATATAAAATATACGGGCTATATGTTAGTGACGTCTTGTTGGTTGTTAATAATCAAGGTAACAAAGAATAGGAGATATATTTAGAAATTGTTTGTGTCTGAGTGAAGTTTTTGGGTCACAATGATGAACTCTACTGGTGTGGAATACATCAGAAAATGAACAATAGCGCTCATACAGTATGTGTGGGGGAGTGAGACTGGGACAAACCCCAGAGCTGTGAGCTAATTTGGTAATTGGACACAATGAAATAAGCTGGCGAATCATCCATTGTACCGCATTTGCAACAGGACAAGGACTTTGCTGTATTAAGCCCATAGCTATTCAAGATACTGTAAAGCCATAAATCTACAATGTATGTGAGGCTTTTAAATCTGTTACTCGGCAATGGAAGACTCAAGAAGTTATGCTTTTAGTTGCAGTACACTATGTTAAAATGTTGATAGAGCCTAGTTTTTTATTAAAAGGGAAATATTTTCAAAGCCCTTGAAGAGGTTTTATCAAACACTAATCCCATATTAACCGAGTGTAAAATGATGCATTATATTTGTATGATTTGTTCTCTGAGAAAGAGCCAGGAAGAAGAAGCCGTCTCATTGGCAGACCACTAACCCTTTGTCTTTACTTTTACATCCAACCTTCAGAGAGATATCCACTCTGATTCTAACACTCTGGCAGAACAGATGTGTCATAACTCAGTAAGAAAGGATACACACGCAGAATGCTGATTCATAGATGAGATGAGGGCCATATGCGGCTCACTAATGTTCTATAAAATAACACCAGGGCCATTTCTGATTCCTAATATGACTGTGCAGAGCCAGGCGTTTGCTCAGTTTAGAGATGACTGTATCAAAAGCTGGCCCTGTCACAAGGCTTTCTCAGCAGATTAGCACAGTAACTTCAATGTTTGTTATGATGGGGTTTAAATTCATGAGGGATGTATGATCACTTATAAAGGCATGTTATTGTCTACAGAAATTAACTACTACATTGATATGACTGGACAATCAAATTATGCCTCATCCAAGCCTATTTCTGCACTTGCACAATTTTACGAATGTTTTCCTTTATGTATTAAATTAATTGTAAATTGAACTGTTGGAGAGACCTGGGACATAACTTTGTCATTGCCAACGAGAACACTGACTGTTGTTCACATGACAATAAAGCCATTAAATCCTCAAATCTTAAATATTTTTCTTCATCTTGAAACCTCTTGAACAAGGTTGAATTTTTCTGTTTTTAACATATTCAAGTTGAAAAATAAAAGCAGATCATTTTTGCCCCAAATTTCTCCCATTTGTTCGGGGAATCTTCTTTGAGACGTTGACCAGCACTAGTTTTTTTTAGCATAAACACTGGCTAGGACAAAGACCATTTTGAGCTTTGAAAACTAATAAAAGTATATCAAAGTAAATACGGAATCAGACAGGTTGCCAATGCAGAGACTTTTAAAATGGGGTTATGTCTACTCTGTTTCAGTTACGTTTTTATTGAACAGCATAAACAAAAGTCATATCACAACACAATAATCAAAAAAAGATGGTTACTATACCGGCTAGTTCATTTATATCTCTCTCACGCATCAGTAAGTTGAAATATAGTCCATCAATGTATAAAACTGTATGCTATTCTTGCATCAGTGACTGTTGTGGTTGCACCATTGTTGCTGTGGGTGCTGAGGCTGGGATGTCTTCCCTTCATTCATTTTATATTATTAGCTTTCTTTGTTTTGACTGCAATAGAGTGTGTTATGGCTCCTTAAAGAATGATACACAGGCACTGAGGTAGATGATGAGTGTACGGCCCCTTAAACCGTTTTTCCATCAAAATTAGCGAGTATAGGCAGATATAGTTTATCAAAAGAAGAAAAAAATAGGGGAGAGACTAATTTCCCATTGTCACGAGACAAATATGCTTTCTAATGTTTTAATGATGTGGCACAGAGAGTTATTTAACAGTGGTATCTTCTTATGTATATCCCATACTCTTTTTAAAAGAGGATTGAGTGTGGTGGGAACAGTGGAGAGAAGAACAAAGTGAGTTTTGATGATATTTATAGTTTTTGTTGAGTTTGAGTGAAGATCAGCGAGGTTAAATTGTTGTTTTTTCAAACGAGTCTGGTGGCTTTGATGAGCGTATAATTGTATGTTAATAAAATATAATAATACTATAGCTGTATAACCTATGCAGTTATTTAACTGTGAAATACTAATAAGACGATTCTATCAAAATCTGCACCTTTGTTATTGTGTGGGTGTTACACTGGACGACCATCTGTCCTTCACTGCTAACATCGCTTGCAACAACATCAGGAGAATATGTCCCGTGCTCACTCTGAAGGCAACACAGGTACTGGTCCAGGATCGTGTCATCTCAACCTTTGACTACTGCAAGTGCCTTTAACCTGTGTAGCTCGTCCAGAATGCAGCAGTTCGACTGGTTCTCAACCTACCCAAGTTCTCCAACACTGAACTACTCCCCTGCTCCCATCTGTGGCTACCAGCTGCTGTCTGAATCCGCTTCAAGACACTGGTGGAGGCCCATCACGCTGTGGATGGATTATAGTCAGAAGGCCACTGCAAGTTGGACAGACGAACCCCTCAACAAAAACACGCCTGTTTGCTATCCTGGCTCCAAAATGGTGGAACAAGCTTGTTTTATGTTTCATGTGTCTATATACTGCAGGTCTCCCTTGAAAAAGAGATCTATGATCTCAAGGGACTAATCTAAATAAAGGTTTGAAATGAAATGAAATGAAGCTCTCAAGACATGTCAGGACTTCGGAAAGTTTACACATCTTTTGTCACAGACTGACAACCCACCAGTTTCAACCGCAACTTTGCACAAAAATAATAATAATAAGAAATGATATGCTGTATGTAGTATTTAAAAAGCTTTTAGCTTATTTGAAGCCAATGCATTAGCACTTACAATAGTTTGGCTAATTGTTAGATAATTGATAACAATAATAGCTGATTTCCCTTAGAAACTTTTTTGAGTTTGTTTTTCATGGTTGAATGCACTAATTGTAAGTCGCTTTGGATAAAAGCATCAGCTTAATTAAATATTATGTAATGTTATATAATATGGGTTTATAGCTGTTTTACACAGTTCATTTGAGGCATTCATCTTGTTTTAATTTAGTTTATTTGTTTATAGTGTTGTGGACAATTAATATATATTCTTTAATTATATTTTGACTTCTTATTGCACATTCTTACTTGAACTTGTTTTGTTTTTATAGATATTTTTACTCTATTATATTATATCTTTCTACTTTTTGTTTTAATATTAAAGCTAGCAACTGTAAGAAAACCTAATTTCCCTTGGGATAAATGAGTATTCTGACTACTGCAGAATTTGGCCCGGGAATAAATGGCAACTGTAACCTTTACGGCTAAAGACAAAAGCCAGACGTTAGTGGGTGTTAGAGTTGTTGTCCAGTGGGAAAGAAGCTTTATTTACCTACGCTGATTAAAGTGGCAGTGCCTATCAGGATCACCACTGCCGACTAAATGTTCTGCCAATCTGCAGTAAGAGGGCTGTTTCCTCAACGATGCATTCAGATTAGAAAGTGGGGTTTAGGTACTGAGCCAGGAATGAAACACAACAGGCAGTTCAGTTTTTTACTAATGTCCCACCATTCCCACTGTGTTAGA